CCCATATCTCAGCCCCATAGAGAACCACCTGTTCAATAGCACACTTGTAGATTGTTCTGCTAGTATGGTGTTTTATACCTCATTGGTTTTTACAAATAGAGCGCAGAGAATGGGCGAGTTTAATACAATTTTTCTTGATGCTCTGAATATGGGGATTCCAAGTGAGAGTGTTATCTATCAGGATCCCAAGATATTTTATTTCAGTACTTGTCTGGATCTTTTGACCGTTGATTTTGATAGCTGGTGCTTGTCTAGTGGTCTTTTCCTGGGAAAAAGTATTGAGTTACATTTTTCAATATTGATTTTAAGCTTGTTTTTTTCGGCCCATCTATTGACAGACTTTAATAGATTATTCATATTAAGTTGCAACACCTCTTGGTTCCTGTGCTTCATTGTAATCAGCGTGTCATCAGCGAAGCCAACTATGTCACCATCAGGAGTTGTTTGATTGGAAGATTGACTGTCTACTACCGACGTAATAGAAAGAATGAGGGCTGTTTCACACTATGACCGACTGGACCGATTGGTTCGACCCGACCGATCCTATAATCGGACCGACTAATAATAGAAGCATTCACATTGAGTACGATTAGAGGAGAAAAGGGTATTATGGAATAGTCGGGTAATATGGAATACCGAGGTTTCGGCTCTGTTTGTTGCTGCTATTACGTGGGAATACCATGAACTACTCAAGAAAGATTCCCACGATGCAATGCAGTGAGAGTTGACCGCTTGTTGTCGTCGTACCACTTGCTACAGAACAAAACATGTTTGTGATTTTCAAGAGTTTTTGCAGGCAAGTTTTCAAACATTTTAACCTACTAGTACACATGTGACTCGAACATTGAAGTTAAGCATAATGTACACTAAAAGAATTGTAGTTTGTTATACTGCAGTCGTTTTTTAGCCGACAATGTTTTGTTCATCAGTTTAAAGGTTCATTTTCCAAGATGGCATGTCGGGTATTAAGGAATACTAGGATAAATGGATAAACTGAAAGAAAAGGACAAAAAGAAAGAACCAGAAGCTTCAAAACAACAAAAGAAACCGAACATTCAAAGACCACTTGTTAAGAAATTAAACTTAGACCTTCTGAACCGAAACCTACTAGAGATGACTCCAGTGTTTGCAGCGATGAATCGTTCCATTCTGATGTATCATCTGTAATAGACTTCATGCCATCAACTAAAGAACCATAAAACGAAGACGCTGAATGTATCTTCTGTAACGGAAAATTCTCCGAAGATGATCGAGGGAAAATTTGGATTTAATGCTTCAGCTGTTCTCTGTGGGTTCGCCTTGATTGTACCGGAGCAGAGAAAGAAAATTATACCTGTGCTTTTGTAAATAGACTCGAAGCAGGAATGACATGCACATAATCTTAAAAATGGTTTTTAAGGTTTTTCATCTTAGTGGTTTATGGTTTTCATAGTTAAGAATAACTATGTTTTATGAAGTCTAATTAGTTTTTCAATGGTTTAAATCACCTATTCCATATTACCCGACTATTCCATATTACCCTCCATTTGTGAGTTTTTTAAGATACATTTTTTATAACAATAAAACAAATAGTATTTTTTTACAAGTGACAATTCATTACAATTAGTTATAGTATGTACTCATGATGATTTTGGGATTTTTATTAAAAAACCAGTAAAGTTATTTTTAGAAATGTAAATGGTATTCCATAATACCCTCCTCTCCTGTATATGTCGGTGGCCGATTCGTAAGGACTAATCGGAACGGTGTTAGAAATCGTTTTAAGTTTTTCTAATTTTTAAAAATATTTTTGTAATCTACTTGGTTAAACTTTGCGGAAATTATCTTACTTCGTTTATAAATTCTTCCGAAAAGTCTAAATAATACCATCGATAATTTTTTTAATATATATATATTATTCATTTGTGTTCCCATATAAAATTTAAGCAGTTATGAAAGAAATAAGGTACCGTACAAGGGAAAATTTAAATAAATTAGAAATATATATAATGTAAAGTTATGTTTGACTGATTCGATAGTTTCCACATATCCAAAGTCTGATTGGTTGTAGTTTCGAAGCTCTCATTGGCTGTAACTCACCGACTGCTCCGACCCACTACAAATATTTAACTTTTTAAATCTGTCCGACTGGAACGACCAGTCGGTCGGCCGATTGCTGTTGCCATGGCAACACGACTTGGAGTCGGATCAGTCGATCCAGTCGGTCGTAGTGTGAAACAGCCCTAATGCTATTGTGTAATGAAACCGCTCTTTTATAATTAGAGGTAAGTATAAGCGAGTCTATACATGTTCAAACATAAGCTGAAGCAGCGCTCTGCTCGCGTGGTAATGCTATTCTGTTCAGAGAAGTGTATGCATGTTCCAACAAGTTCAAGCATCGTCCTTTGCAAATTCTGCATTAATTTTTCAATAATAGTGTAAATATTTTTGACTTTTAGACATAAACAATATAAATACGATACGCAGTGTAAATTTTTAGAATCGATACGTGAAATTTTCTATTAATTAAGTATTTAACACATCAATATTTTTCTCACACTTACAGCCAAAATGGCGCCCCTAAACTTTGGCGCCCCTGACAAATGTCCGGGTTATCCGCCCATAGAGCGGGCCCTGTATTCACGCCTGCTTAGTCTTTATCATTCGGAAAAAATACGTCAGTTTACATCGGAAATTGAAAAATACGTTATTTAGTTTTCTAAATTTACGAAATATTTCTGGATCAATCAATGGATATTCAGTTTTACATACACATTATGTTGGATGCTTTCCTGCAATATTTAAAAATTATGCAGGTATGAAAGTTTGACAGGCAACAACCTCCTAACGAGTCCATTCTGTTTCTTCTAATTCAATGTCACGACTTGGTGAATTTATCGACACTTGGCAAATAATTTCATCATCCACTTTTAATTCATACAGATACGCGTTTCGGGTAAACAAAAGTTTGAACAGCTAAACAAAATATTTTGATAAAATAAATATAAAGCTAGCCCAACCTATAACAACTTGCAAAAAAGAATCAGGAAGACTGAACCTGGCATAAATAAACAACCAGATAAATACAACACTACCGAAGTCGTCTATAAAATACCTTGCACATGCGAACCGCCAAAAGTATACATTGGAGAAACAAAACGAAAATTAGAAACAAGATTAAAAGAACACATCACGGACCTGAAGCAGTCGCAGGCGAGGCTGTGTGCAGCACTCGGGGAGTGAGACGTTACAAGTTATGAGGCATGCGGGGGAGGGGAGGGGAGGTGCCTGACAGATACTGTATACACAAGATACAACCTATCTATGTAACAGACTGAAGAGGGGCAAAAGCCCGAAACGAGTATCTGTATGAATTAAAAGTGGATGATGAAATTATTTGCCAAGTGTCGATAAATTCACCAAGTCGTGACATTGAATTAGAAGAAACAAGAAGAAGAAGACACGGTTTCGAGTCCATTCTGATTATTTTCAAAATAATTTTTTTCCGTCCAAAAGAGTTTGCTATAGATAAATCAAAGAAAATGAGTTTTTGGAATTGAATATTATTTCTGGCATTACCTGAGCTCAGATGAGCCAAATTTTTAAATTTGAAATCATAATTTTACATTATACAATGTAAATTATTGAATTATAGTATACTATTTATACTATTATCTACACTATTTTTAAGGTACTTTCATATGGTATTAAATTATTAAGATTATTGAAAATATTGCAGAAAAAATTTTAAGTTTAAAAAGAATTACGAAATTATGTAAATGTGCTGTCAATGTTTATATAAAAAATTAGTTTTTTTCGGTTTTAGAACCACGTTTTTTCCATTAATTTGTTTATTAGTACATAACTGAAGTTATAAAATTGTTAATACAGTACATATAGCCCTTGATTTGTTATATTAAATTCTATTTTATCCAAAAAAATTATTTGTTTGCATTCCTTATATTATATTTGATTATATAAGACAATCAATCAATCAATCAATCATTTTATTTTTACATGTAATATACATATATCCTGACCCCGCTGTGGCATTATCAGGAAAAACTATACAATAAGTTTAATTAATATTACAATATAAAATGTATAATACAGTATTAATTTATATATTATTTGTTATAACATAAGCTATACAGTTCAAGTTAGATATTGGTATATAATATTTCAATATATATATGTAATATATATAATACGTTATGAGATAATAGTAGAACCAATATTAATAATATTTACAATGTTTGTAACTGAATATATTCAAAAGATATGTTAACATACATGTTCAACATATATATTTAACAATCTTATATTTTAACGTAAAGTTGTGAATGAACACTCTCTTAAAAATAGTTATTATTTCTGGTTAAATATTAAAATTCCAACTACTTACATTAATAATATAAATTACTATATTTATAATACATAATTTCAATGCTACTAAAATTATTAATATGCAATTAGTCTGTACAGATTAGTATTCCAATACTTTAACTATACTTATAGATTTATTTTAAATTAATACCAGTTTCCAACTGTAGTATTCTTAATTAATAAAATACATGTTGAAAATCACTGAAGATAACGTAAAGAAGTTCATAACTACCAGTCGTTGGTAGCATTAATAGTTCTATATGTATCAATAATTCACACTAATCTCTGTCTTCAATTCTTATCTTCAATTTGTATTTCCATGTCCTCTGTGAGNAAATTTTTATAAAAATAATAAACATTTTCAATAATGATCGGTGTGCTAAATCAATTAATACTGTAATGAAATGCAAAATTCTCTTTTAAATGTTATTTATGTCTTAATGTTAAAACATTAAGACATAAATAACATTTAAAAGAGAATTTTGCAAATATGACGAAAATACTTCGTATATTAATTAATAAATTTTTACACAGGATTAGTTATTCATTCAACATTTTTTTGTTTCTTTTCTATTTTATTGTATTTTTTTAAGTTTTGATTTTGTCCTATTTAAATTATTTGAATTATTAACATCATTTTCTTTTGACTTTGATGTTCTATTATCTAATCTGTAATTATATAAAGTGAGTTAAATATTAGGAAATGTTTTTCCGTTTTCCTTTGTTATTTAAGCATAAAATATGGATATACTTTTAAAGAAATTTCCGATATTTCCATTTAATATTTATGCATTCTAATTATTTTGAAAGTTTTATTTTTCAAGGAAAAGAATAACATGTCCATTTACAATCTTTTCATTATATCGATCGTAAGTTGGTCGAATATCCCAAAGAATGACTTTAATAATGCAGCGATTTATTATTAGTGAAATGGATTGAGATTCAACAGAAGACATGACTTCACTTAGTACAATTTCTTCTTCTGGCGATGAAACCAAAGAAACGAAACGACTTTATGTGCCAACTAGTTATTTCCTATGGTCGGAATTTCTAGGAATTTCGTATTTAATAGAAGGTAATGATGACGCAGAAACTATTTGCAAACGGAGAAGTTACGTTCACTTAATAATACTTCATCTGTATAGTGTCTATCAATGTCTTCGATCATTAAATGGTGTTCTTCAACATAATAATATTTGGTACAATTTATTATCGTTATCTCAAGTAACTGCTAGTTTAATTACTGTCGATATTTTAATATCCAGAAGAAAACTGCTAAGAAAAACTTTTATATCTTTACTTGACTTACTAATGGAAGAGTCCACTCAAAATTCAAGAACACCTCGACAAGAAGAGGTACCAGTGATTTTTGTTTTAACTTATCTTTTTCTTTACTTAATTATGGTTATCGCAATTGTTATTCGTTACAAAACTACTATTTGCAGTAATGATGTTATCCCATTTTATAATTTCAAAATTAAATCAGCAGAATTAATCGTAGCGTTGGTCTTTTTAGATTGGATTATGTTCGTGATTTATATTCTTGGTATTTTAGCTTATTGCATTCTGTTATTTTATATTTACTGCAACAAACTTTGTAAATTATTTCAAGAACTTAATTCGAATATCTCTTCCTTAAATAGTGAATATTTATTGAAACAGTTAGCTATGGCATGCGACAGACTGAATCAGTTAACTATAGACGTAGACAATTCATTCGGTACTGCAGTATTTGTATGGTTTGCTCTATTTATTTCCGCAATTTGTATAGAGATGAATAGTATATTAAGAGAAGAAATTTGTTTAACTTATAAAGGTAATTCAATAATTATGACCATGGATTTTATATACTATTCTAGCATTATTCTGATTACTTGTGAATGTGGCAATCGCGTATCCTCTTCTGCACAAATTATTATTCCCAATATTGTTAAAATAGCTCGCGTTAATCAACTGACATCATCATCTATGTATAATGATATTTTTCTATTAACTTCTAGACAAATTTGTTGCCCTGCAGTGTTGACCGCGGGGAATTTTTTTACGCTATCGAGAGGATTATTATTAACTTTAATAGGTGCCACGCTGAGTTATGTCATATTTTTGTTTCAGATTAACAGTAATGTTTCAAAATTGTTAGTTAATGCAACCAGTGTTTAAACAATATGTACTGCAATAATAAATAATAAACTTTGAAGTAATACCCTACTTTAGACCTCATCATTTCACATGATAATTTTTAAATCAAATTAGTCATTTTGTCAAAAATGTTAATAAAAAGTTTTCAATAAAACACAGAAAAATATTTAAATTTTCTCAAAGTATCAATTAAAATTATATCCAAATTTATATAATTTCATTTCAGAATATTGAAAGGAATGAATTGTGTCGCTGATTAAAATATTGTCGAATCTTCACATAAACATTCAATCAGATCGATCTTTATAGTGTTTTTATTTTATTTAAAATTTGTAATTTTTAGAAGAGAACAACAGATATACGTATGTCATCGCCGAAAAATTTCTGTAAGTAAATATAGCTGAATACAACAAAATGAAATCGAATAGCTTAATATACAATAATTATTTCCTAAAAATTTAACTTCTACTGAAAGGCTGAAATCAGTGATTGACCCTTTTAGAACAGAAATAGCTAATAAACGTTAAAATGAAATAAATTTATCCAATTCTGATCAAAATAGGGAAAGAGTATAGATTAACAATAAATAGATATTATCGAATGATTTCATAGATCATTCAAATATTTAGTTTGATGGCCAGATGACTGAGGCGATTAAGGAGTCAGTGTATCTGAGTCTCTGGGGAATCAGAATCGAATCCAAGAGAGCAACACTAAGAACTTTTCATGGGCGATCTGGCGTGGATAAGTCAGGCTCCGACCTTCACCACTCAGCCATCCCTATTGTAGGCCTTCTTAGTGTCCACGAAACAGAGCGTTAAAAAGGAAAAAGTGATGCTACTATTCTGGACTAGATTTTAACCAATTCCAAACTGCGTCCACTTCTAGAATTCCATATACCGTATATTGTAGGATCTTGTTTTGCGCGGGATTATTATACACGGATTTATATTATATTTTGATTTGATGGATTACTGCAACGTAACACATGGGCAATCTGCTTTCTAGAAGGACTTTCTGTAAGAAACTGGTCCTATTTTGGTATTAGACGAGTGAAGAAAACTACGGAAACTTCACACGGTCAGTCCAGTAGTCAGATGCGAACCCACGACCAACTGTTAGTGTTTAATGTTTTGGCCACTGGTAGACGTATTATAAGAGATATGTGAGACCGAGACCTCACCCCCCGACGGGAACTGGCTGTCGAGTTAAAGCCAATAAATCGGTGACTTAGTTCGTAAACAAGACTTGGGCGGTAAAGGAACGGGGTGTGAAATGATTTAATTGTCGCCTTCCCGGCCAAATTGACACTCCCCGATCGTAGATCGTGAAAGGTGGGTGAGAGATCGAACGCCGGGGAGAATTCGACAGTCATCTTACAGAGTTCAAAGCAGAAAGTTGCGGACCCTCTTTCGGAGGAGGAGGCGGTTGGGACTGATTGGACCCAGCTGCGCCTTCTCCGAGTCAGAAAAACACATTAGTTCAAAATTTACGGGACCGTCACTCGGAGAAGGGCGCGACCCGACTTTGAAGAGGAGTGGCCCAGACGGAGGGGTGTTCGGTGATCCCACGGCCTGAATCGTGTCCCTGGCAACAGACTCTCTTTGCGACCACCAAACAGACCTGGCGATAGAGTTACACGGGACCATCATTCGGGCCAACCAAAAAGCGGGATTTCGGGTAAAATCATATAAAATCCGTGTCCCAAGGACACGGAGAGGTTGGGAGAAAACAGTCCGGTCGACTCAGCTCGGGACTGTAGTAGCACCGCGAACCAAGTACGGCAGAGGAATTTAAGGACCGAACTTCCCGCCGCAGACTTCTTCACGGTACGAATTAGGGAATTAACTTCCCAACGGAACATTGTGTACGCCGTGGTCTTGTGCTACGTGGACCTTGCTACCACTTCCTCCTCCAAACGAAAACCCTGTACAAGAACTTTTCCGGTGTGTGACTCACGTGCCCATGGGAGAAAGAACGCTCCATCGTTTGGTACACTATCTTTTCGCTGGACAGCCCACTGTTTCTATTGTAAGCATGTTTTTACCTAAATAAACGCGTTAAGTTTGTAAATTCGGTCTCTGTGTGAGACTCTCTTTGCGACCAGCAACCCCATACGTCAAAAGGCTTATCGCGTCATCCTGACAGATCGCTGGAAAGCGAGGGTCATAACCTTTCATCTAAGGCAGACTCTAGGCGAGTGGCGAAAACCTTACAGTGGTGTCCAAGAAGTGGGATTTTAAATCCCCAGACACCTCAGGGTAGGCAACCTCACAGATAAGCACATCTTACTAAAGATATATAAGTGGACTAAATGACTGCTTCGATCCTCAATTATTGAGAGAGCTCTCAAATTGTTCTATGAATTTTTAAATATTTTCTTCATAAAACTTTGTAACTACTAGTAAGTAGTTGTCAACAGCCAATAAATACAATAGCCCCTCGTTATATCGCGGATTCGGATATATCCTGCTTTTTTATCCCCCCAAATTTTAAAAGCACTTGAATTAATAAATTTCGGCCCACCAGTGGCCAAGCGGTCTTCGTACCCTGAACATAGGAAGTTCGGTCGTGTGTTCGTGCCTCACTCGGACGGGCTGGCCATGTGAAGTTTTCCGGGTTTTCTCCACGTCTTAACGCCTAAATAGGCACAGTTTCTCTTAAAAAGACCTCCCGGAAGGCATCCCCCTTGACCGATCGCCCAAGTGTTGCGTTGCCATAACTTAACAAACAAACAATAAATTTTAAAATATAAATTTATTTTTGCAACAAAATACGGTATTTCTACCATAGTCCTTGAAACTACCACTGCGGTGAAACAATAACTTTCTAAAGATCTAAATAAGCAAAACAGGTGGACAGATCAATTATCATTTGTTTCCTTTTGATATTAAAAGTTGTTTATTTATTGGTTTTAAATACTGTCTCCTCATTTACAAGTGAATTGATGTTCTGTGAATTCGAAATTTCGCACCAAAAAATAAATATTGAACATATAACAAACATCAAACTTATAAATTTACAAAGAATAAAAATTTTCTAAAAAGCAATAAAGTTACTATTGTATAAAAATTTTAGAACTTTCCGTTCAGAAATAAAGACATTTTTTTCGTTACACATTATGCAGTGAATTCGAAATTTCGCACCTTTACATGAATTGACGCAATACTATTTATTTATTTTTTAATTTTCAATTATTATATTTATAATCTTTATCGAAAAATAAATAACACATATTTTTAATAACGATTTATTATAAAATATAGTACTGTATAATAACATAGCAACTGATATTGTTTTTATATCGACAGTATTTGTCTTTAAATGTCAATGTTAATGAAATAATGCTAAATGGGCGTTCGGTGTTTATGTAAACGTCAGTTAATAGGATATAACCACGAAGAAAATTCAGTATTGAAAAACTAAGCTTATTTTATATCAGAAACACTTGCTGATGAAAGAATAGAGGATAGAGATTCCCAGCATGTATAATTGTTTAGTATAAGTTCAGAAATTTTAGTACTCGGTCTCCCGACAAGCGTGATATAACGAAATGCTGCTGTGTTTAGTTTTCTATATTTTATAAACAAAACAAAAATTCAATAGATTATTTGCTTGAATATAAGTTTAAATTGTTTTACAATCTGAAACATCTCAATTTACGGTGTTTCAATGTCTTTCAAATATTTCATAACATCTTTGAATAAATTACAATAATAATAATAATAACGGAAAATATAGCATAATAAATATTCATTTTTCCAGGAAAGCGTGGAGAAACATTTTCATAATTTGTAAATGTCATTTCAACTATATATCCTAACTCCTTTGTATGTAGTTCAACTTGCACAATAGCTCCTGAGATGTTTTATTAATAATTTTTTTCTTTTTTAAATCAGATTAATATCTACAACAATTACAACATTATACAAAGACAATAAAACAGTAATAATTAATTAATATTAGGAGACCAAATTCGCCCAAACGGAACCACCATTTATTAACTTTATGTTCCAGACAATACAATCCTGGCGACCGACCTTCCTTTTTAGGCTACTAGCCGCCAAAACGCTAAAAAGTCCTTTTAAAAACCCCAAGGTTTTCAATTAAAAAATGTAAAATTTTTCTAAAACTGGAACTGGTGTATACGAACGTTCTCTTGAGACCATCTAACCTTCTTGGGTGTTTCGGCTTTTTATCTACGAGGAAGAGAACGTTCAAGAGAACGTTCGTATACACCAGTTCCAGTTTTAGAAAAATTTTACGTTTTTTAATTGGAAATCTTTGTGTTTTTAAAAGGACTTTTTAGCGTTTTGGCGGCTAGTAGCCTAAAAAGGAAGGTCGGTCGCCAGGATTGTATTGTCTGGAACATAAAGTTAATAAATGGTGGTTCCGTTTGGGCGAATTTGGTCTCCTAATATTAATTAATGAAAAAGAACCATCGGACGAAATAATTAAAAGTAATAATTAAGTTACTATCTCAGGAAATACAGCGATATAGCGAAATAACGAAGAATATTAGATAACATTTAGTTTCATATCTTGACAACATAAATATCAACAAATTGTTATTAATACAGGTAATTTATTTTGAAATTTGAAATAATATATGTTTCAACATAGTGAATAGAGTCAGGAAAAATATTTTAATTATAATATTAAATAAATATTTAAATAATCTGAAAATGTTTTATTTAAGAAAAATTTTTTGAATGAAACAAAAATTTAACAAGATCAAAATCTAGCAAAAATGTATTTAATAAACAAAAATAGATCAGTTTTACATAAATTTTATTTAAAAATATAAGAAGATAATTCTGTTATAATGAAGATAATGACATAAAATACAAATCAAATGATAATTTGTCACAAAAGGTCACAGTTATTTTAAAGTGTTGTTATATGTAGTTTCTAGTCCATAGTTGTAGTAGTTTAGAAGAAACTAGCAGACCCCGCCACGCGTTGTTGTGGCTCAAAATGTATCTATTATAAATGTATAACACTTCCCCCGTGGGAGGGAAATTTTTCGAAAAATTCCTTCTTAGTATACATTCTGTTGACG